CGTTGGTGCAATCCTTTCTGTAGTGCCCGTCCTGGAAACAGCGGAAGCACAGGCCGACCATCTCCGACGACACCTCGCGGGGAGGGGGGGAAGACCGCGGCTGAGCGCGCGGCGGCTGCGCAGCCGGGTCATGGCGGCGCCTCCACTTGGCACGCCCAGAGGGGGGCGGGCGTTCCCACGGCACCAGCTGCAGGCCCTCGACCTCAGCAGCCCGAGGCCGTGACGAGGCCTCCACCCCCTCTGGGGCGGCCGACGGCGCCGAGCAGGACGACAGACCAAGGCCAGATACGACAGGGCGTTCCCCCGCGGGGCGCGAGGTCGCGGAGTGTGAGTGCGGGCTGGCGTCCATGGCGAAGAGGAGCGGGAAGGGTGGCCGACGCGGCCGGAGTGGCGAGCGCCGGGAGAGGTGGACGCCGGCGCCGGAGTGACGCGCGGCGGTGCTCAGGCGCAGACAGGAACAGTGGCTTGGTAAACCTGCCAAGGTTCACAGGCGCAGGGCGCGGAGACGCCGAGACCGTAAGCTGTGCGTCTGGCGTGCCCCCTCTATAAACTTAGTCAAAGTTAACAAAATTTGACTTTGATTAAATCTTACATGCAAAGTAAAAAGAAACAGAAGGAGTACGTAGTACGTAGGTTTTCAATGTGCATAACCACTATGGATTTGAGGTATGATGTTTGAGGTTCATGAATGTACCAGATGGTTTTTGTGTGTAGCCCAGTCACTGTCCACGGACATGCCCGGGGTGTTTGTACGAGGAGAAAATGAATTACAACATGAGCGCACCTGACGACAGGGTGGCGCAGGCTGAGCTGAGCGCGCCAGCGACCGAGTTTAACACGGCTCAGACTCATTCGTAGCGCGAGGGTGCTCCGTCGCCCGCCGCTCGACGGCCGAGTCCGCGGTCTACACGCGTCCGGTGTTTACCCGTGTACCCGTTTGGCACCCAAAAGAGAACTCCACCCAAAACAACAACCTTCCCCAGCCCTCCGTCAATTAACCACCTGTTCCTTTTTTAAGTAATCCTGAAGATATATCTCAAGATATGTTCACACAAAACTACTACTACTGTAATTGAGATGCAACTGCGTGTAGGAAGCAAACTGAACCCAGGCTTCCATCATCCTTTTTCTCATCTTACGACAAAAGAAAATGACAGGTGGTTTTATGTACACAGGAAATGCAAAGGTAGATCGACACCAAAGCGTAAATCATCTACTGCTACTCCTAATTGGCTAACAATCCATTTGCACACCAGGAGTCAACAGCCTGCCTGCCGATGCCAAAGCAACCAGACACCAACGGCACAGCAAGAAACCCAAGAAAGAAGCAACAGGACCAGGCAAAAGCAGGGGACGGGGACGGGCTGGGCTAATCGGGCACGGCGGCGGGCGGGCGTCGGGCCGACCGGTCGGTGGCCGGTCAGTAGGAGTAGGCGGTCCTGTGCACGGAGCGGTCGCGGAGCATGCCGCGGTACAGAGCCTCCCGGTTCGCCGGCATCCGGTGGTCCGATCCCGTCACGCTTCCCCTGCACGTCGGCTCGGCCGCTGCCGGCGCCGGCGGGGGCGCGGAGGAGGACCTGGCCACGGGGGGCGCGCCCTCATTGTCGATGACGCCCTCCGCGAAGCGCACCCGCTTCTCCCCCTTCCGCCGCAGCTTCCCACCGCGCGGGCGCTTCTCTGTTACGCCAAGAATCAAGGAAGCTCCGTCAGGATCCCGTGCACAGAGAAGAAGATGAAGAAGAAACGTCACGAGATCAGCAGTGGCCTACCTGGGGAGGAGGAGGGGGAGGAGAGGCATGGACGAAGGGACGCGGGGTCGTCCGAAGCAGGGGCGTCGTCGTCGAGGCTGGGCTTGGCGAAGCGGCGGAGGGAGAAGAGGACGAGGGAACCGGAGAGCGCCATGGCGGTGGCCGCGGCGAGCGCGCCCATGGACGAGGAGGAGGAGGAGGAGGAGGACATGGTCGTGGTCGTGGCGGGGTGGGTGAGCGTTGAAGGCTGGCTGGCTGGCAGGTGGCTGACTTGACTCGTGGAGTCCTGGCCTGTTTTGGGTTCGGTGCAGGTTTGGATGGAGCGCCGGGGGCGGCACTGCTGTGCTATATAGGGCGAGGAGGGCCGCATGTCTGCGGGAGACGGGTCGCGGTTTTTGGACTCAACACAACACCTCCGTTCCGAACTGTTTTCAAAATAAAAATATCTCCGTTTCGAACTGTTTCCAAAATAATAATCTCCGTTTCGAACTGTTTTCAAAAATAAAATCTCCGTTTCGAATTCACACGGGGTATGATCCGCTCATGACGAGAGGCGCTAATATTTTCCTTTTCTGTGACAGGAATGGGATGACGGACGCTAATACAAGTACAACGTAATAACTTCTCATACAAGACATAACGTGGGATTCGTTGTTTAAAAGAAAAAGAAAATAAACTAACGGTCTTCTTTTTTGGATGAAAAGGGATTATTATTATTACTCAGGAGCTAGTTCATTCTTACATAGGTCAGCGATATCATCTGGACCTGAACCCAGCCACACGACGGTGCGGCATTCAGTTCTACCAAAGGAAGCAAGGTAATGGCTTATGCCATTCTGCTCTCTACATACATGCACTAGCTTAACTAATCTCCCTTCTCCCTTCTCTCATGAGCCTTTTAATCTGGTCCACAGGCATGGAGTAACAAGACCGATCTCTCTCTTCCTATGATCATGTTTAGAGCGACAAGGCAGTCTGCTTCCACTACGATAGGTTGTTACGTCCATTGTAATTGTATAAGGCAAGGTTCAGGCCGTCCATACACGCAAGCAGTTCGGCTTCTAGGGGTTCCGCACATGACCTCAGTTCTCTGCATGAGGAGAATATGATCTCGCCGTCACTATCGCGCAGAATAATACCCGCTCCAGCCGTAATAGTCGATGCACAGAACGAGCCGTTGATGTTGAGTTTTGTCCAGCCTGCAGGCGAACGTGTCCATCGAAGTTGTGGCCCAGCTGCAACAAGAGCATGTGATGTGGGTATGGTCTGCACCACTGCATCCACCACTTGCTTACCCTTCACCGGATCTGCACTCGGGTTATTTTGTATGCCCACAAGCGAGTCGATGTAGCTGAGGAGGAAAGTTCTCGAGGCTTCGACTGGGGGCGGTTGCTTATGGTGTGTCATCTCGTTTCGTACGTGCCAGCAGCGCCACAGAGTCATCATGAGTTCCATCCTCTCCGTGTCAGGAAGGTCGCAGAGAGTTTGGGCGAGCCACTCCGAGCCCGTCCTCTGGAATGACGATGCAGCTGGAATCCTCCATCTCTCAGCCATAGCTTTGCCATAACGCCACAGCCCTCGGGCACCTGCAAAAGGCATGAAACATGTCCTCCGGCTCCATAGCGCAGAGAGGGCATTGATAAGATACCTCCAGTCCTCAATGTTTTTTATTTACCCAAGTGGGCAAACAATTAGTGATCAACCGTCAGGTAAAGGTTCGAACCTTGGGAGGAGCAGGGCACCTCCAAATAAAAGCCCAAATGGCTCGTCGCCCAGCCGGTGCCCTGCTCGCCGCGACTGAAGAAGATCGAGTCGATAAGCGCTCTACGCCGAGAAGCACCCATTGAGTTCTGGACCCCATGCAAGGATGTCGTCGCCCATCCTCAATGATGTTCTGATCTTGGCTATCTCCTATGCGTCCACCGAAAAAAATGTCTCCCAGACCACATCCATATGCCAAGCGCCATGGTTGTCCAGCATCTCACTCACCCGGCGGAGACGACAGCGACCCTGCTGTGTCATGATACGTCTCCAACGTATCTATAATTTTTGATTGTTCCATGTTGTTATATTATCAATCTTGGATGTTTTATAATCATTTTATATCATTTTCTGGTACTAACCTATTGACATAGTGCCAAGTGCCAGTTGCTGTTTTTTGCATGTTTTTTACATCGCAGAAAATCAATACCAAACGGAGTCCAAATGCAATGAAACTTTACGGAGATTTTTTATGGACCAGAAGACACCTAATGGGCCAAGGCAGCGCCTGGGGGTGCTCTGAGGGGAGCACAACCCACCAGGGCATGCCAGGAGGCCCAGACGCGCCCTGGTGGGTTGTGCCCACCTCGGGTGCCCCTCGGACCGCCTCTTTGCTCTATAAATACCCAATATTCCAGAAACCCTAGGGGGGGTCGACGAAAATCAATTCCAGCCGCTGTAGAGTCCAGAACCACCAGGTCCAATCTAGACACCATCACGGAGGGGTTCACCACTTCCACTAGTGCTTCTTCGATGATGCGTGAGTAGTTCTTTGTAGACCTTCAGATCCGTAGTTAGTAGCTAGATGGCTTCCTCTCTCTCGTTTGATTCTCAATACAATGATCTCTTGGAGATCCATATGATGTAACTCTTTTTGCGGTGTGTTTGTTGGGATCGGATGAACTTTGAGTTTATGATCAGATCTATCTTGTTATATCCATGAAAGTTATTTGAGTTTCTTTGATCTCTTATATGCATGATTGCTTATAGCCTCGTATTTGTTCTCCAATATTTGGGTTTTGTTTGGCCAACTTGATCTATTTATCTTGCAATGGGAAGAGGTGCTCTGTGGTGGGTTTGATCTTACGGTGCTTGATCCTAGTGACAGAAGGGGAACCGACACGTATGTATCGTTACTACTAAGGATAAAACGATGGGGTCTATCTCTACATAGATAGATCTTGTCTACATCATGTCATCGTTTGTAGGATCGAGAAGAGGTGTCTAGAGGGGGGGGGGTGATTAGATCCTCAACAAAGAAAAGTAGCAGTTTTTAATTTCTTTTAAGTTAAGGTGGAGTTTTAGCACAAGTTTAAACATTCACAATGCATTTCAAGCAAACATGGCAAGAGTATATGAGTAGCGGAAAATAAAGCATGCAACTTGCTAGAAAGTAAAGGGATGGGGTTGGAGTGTGCAAACGCAATTGGAGACACAGAGATTTTTGGCATGGTTCCGATAAGTGGTGCTATCGTACATCCACGTTGATGGAGACTTCAACCCACGAAGGGTCGAATGGTTGCGCGAGTCCACGGAGGGCTCCACCCACGAAGGGTACATGAAGAAGCAACCTTGTCTATCCCACCATGGCCATCGCCCACGAAGGACTTGCCTCACTTGGGTAGATCTTCACGAAGTAGGCAATCTCCTTGCCCTTACAAACTCCTTGGTTCAACTCCACAATCTTGACAGAGGCTCCCAAGTGACACCTAACCAATCTAGGAGACACCACTCTCCAAAAGGTAATAGATGGTGTGTTGATGATGAACTCCTTGCTCTTGTGCTTCAAATGATAGTCTTCCCAACACTCAACTCTCTCTCACAGATTTGGATTTGGTGGAAAGATGATTTGAGTGGAAAGCAATTTGGGGAAGGCTAGAGATCAACATTCTTGTGGTTGGAATGGAATATCTTGGTCTCAACACATGAGTAGGTGGTTCTCTTTCAGAAAATGTATGCTGTAAGTGTAGGCACATTCTGATGGCTCTCCTGACGAATGGAGGATAGGTATATATAGCCTCCACACAAAATCTAGCCGTTACACACAATTCACAAAACTCGGTGGGACCGAATCGAGAAACTCGGTCAGACCAATTTAGTTCAAAATGTGAACGTTAGGATTTTCGGTGGGACCGATATGATCAACTCGGTGGGACCGATGTTCTAGGGTTAGGGTAAAACCTCAACTCGGTTTGACCAATTACATACTCGGTGGGACCGATTTTGGTAATAAGCAAAATAGAGGGTTGGTCAAGCAAAGTCAGTGGGACCGATTACATATCTCGGTGAGATCGAAATGATTGCAACAGGCAACAGAGAGTTTGCAAGCCCATCTTGGTGAGACCAAGATCCCATCAGTGAGACCGAATTGATTAGGGTTTCTGGCAGTGGCTATGTCAAATGGACTCGGTGGCGCCGGATAGATCAAATCAGTGGGGCTGAGTTTGACTTTACGTTTGGGACAAATGTGGATATGAGAAAGTGATTGAGGGCTTTTGGAGCATATCACTAAGCACTTTGAGCAAGCAAGCCATTAAGCAACACTTCATCCCCTTTTAATAGTATTGGCTTTCCTATGGACTCAATGTGATATTGGATCACTAAAATGGAAATGTAGAGTCTCGAGCTTTAGCCAATCCTTGTCCTTAGCTTCTTGAAGGGGTTCCACATTCTCTTGTCCATGCCACTCCACTGTTGAACTTATCTGAAATATACTAGATAGAAGTATTAGTCCAACAAGAGACATGTTGACATTAATTACCAAAATCACCCAGGGAGCACTTGTGCTTTCAATCTCCCCCTTTTTGGTAATTGATGCCAACATACATCAAAACGTTAGATAAAGATATGAAGAATAACAAGTAAAGCTTTGGAAAAACATGTAACATGCATAGGCCCCCCTACATGTATGCAATCATGTAAATATGGAATGTAAGAGCATGTGAATGCATAATCATGACAGAGCAAGCAATGAGTTACATGTATCTTGGCTATATGCATCAGAGCAAATAATATGAATATAGGAAGTGTACCTCCATGTTCATGCTTCCTTCTTGCAAACAATGTGTACAGTACTAGGAAATCATCATGCACATGAGTGTGATGCATATACTTACCTTGTGGTCTTGAGGAAGCTTTGGAAGAGATGAACCTAAGTAAACAAGGTTAGATAACAAAGAAACATCTACTAAACAGAGCAAGAACACTAAACCACAAGAGTACCAAGATTGGGATGACATGTAGAGAGTGAGTACTAGGTACTCTATGTGATATAGACATGTCCCCAAAGAGTAAATATATGCAATGAATTCGAAGATTTCCTTCCCTTAGATGTCTTTCCCTCCTGAATCTTATATGGAAAATGGGAGAAGATAGGGAAAAGAAAATCAGAGC